CGTTGTAGTGGCGCGAGAGGCGCTTGGAGAGCTTTGCATCTCGATGTCGGAGAAGTAGGTCCCGCGGCCCGTCTCGCGCTTCTTGTACCGCTTGGCGACGTAGTTGTTGCACGCGGCCCAGTCCATGCGGTAGAAGAAGGACGGCGACACCTGCGGCGAAGGCGGCCGACACATCACGCCATCCGACGGCACGCCGGTGCGCATGCAGCACAGCACCTGCGACATCTTCTTCATGCGGTAGCACTCCCGCATGGCGCCCTCGGCGAAGGGCTCCCTCTCCAACTTGACCATCACCTCGGACAGCTCCCACTTACGCGTACTCGAGTTGTAGTCCCAGCGCTTGGCGAGCTCGGTGGCGAGGGAGTGCACGTCCATGCTGTGCCAAGGGTCGTCGGCCGGCAGCGCCATCCGCAGCGCGGGCTGGAGCAGCGTGCGCCAGCGCTCCTTGGCGACGTTTTGGCGCGTCAAGTGCCCCGCGTCGACGAGCAGCTGCACGAGTTGCTGCGGCGTGAGAGGCGTGTCGTCGTCCTCGCGGTCGCCGAGGAGCGCCTCGAGCGCCGGCGATGGAAGAAGAACGTTCGGCAGTGTGGAGACGAGCTTCGATGGCCGGCGCGACGACGCCTCGTGCAGCGGCGCGGCGACGGTCTGTGGCGAGTCGTGGGACATCGCAAAATTCCACGTCAGCCAGGTGTGCGGGGTGCGCACTGTGGGCTGAGGGCCAAAAGTAAAACGCTCTACGCCGCTCTCGGCTCTCAGAGAGGCGTTATATCTCAGTAACCCCGCTCGCAGGTACTAGAGCAGCGTTCGTCAAGCTCAAACCCCACTCTGCACAACACAGAGCAGCGTTTGCCTAACAAGACTCCGCTCTGCAACCTTCAGAGCGGACTCTTGCTCAGAAAAACACCGACCGAGCACGTTCGAGCGGAGTCAAGTCAGTGCAACACCGCTCAACATAGCGGGAGCGGTCAATTTCCGCGGAGAGGCTGCTTTCGCCTCCCTCAGTCGCGCTCTCCTTCGCTCCTCCTCTTCAGAGCGGGACTTTGCTGAGTGAACACCGCTCTAGATGGTCAGAGCAGCGATTGCTTTAAGCTGACACCGCTCTAAATGGCGTGAGCGGCGTCGCCCTGAATAGACGCTGCTCTGGGACGCCGGGACGGCGATGCCACCTGACGCCGACGGCGGATCCACGATCGCTCGTGGCGCGCGGCGCGGCGTGGCGAGCCCCGCCCCTGGGGTTGAGCAGCGTGTGGGTGGGTCGTCACTGCTCCGAGTAGTCAGAGCGGCGTCGCGTTTAGTGATACGCCGCTCACGCCATTTAGAGCGGTGTCAGCTTAAAGCAATCGCTGCTCTTACTAGCTAGAGCGGTGTTCACTTAGCAAAGTCCCGCTCTGAAGAGGAGGAGCGAAGGAGAGCGCGACTGAGGGAGGCGAAAGCAGCCTCTCCGCGGAAATTGACCGCTCCCGCTATGTTGAGCGGTGTTGCACTGACTTGACTCCGCTCGAACGTGCTCGGTCGGTGTTTTTCTGAGCAAGAGTCCGCTCTGAAGGTTGCAGAGCGGAGTCTTGTTAGGCAAACGCTGCTCTGTGTTGTGTAGAGTGGGGTTTGAGCTTGACGAATGCTGCTCTAGTACCTGCGAGCGGGGTTACTGAGATATAACGCCTCTCTGAGAGCCGAGAGCGGCGTTGAGCGTTTTACTTTTGGCCCTCAGCCCGCACTGTGCCTCTGTGTTCCTGCGACGCCCCTCTCTCTCTCCTGGAGATGACTGCTCTCTTCCCCCAAGGTGATCTGGTGCTTGTAGGGCTTGAGAGTGGCCTGCCATGTCACAGGAAGGACTGTGGTTGCAGGAGAGTACCACCACCCATATCACTTTAATTGGTATAGCCACCTTCTCACTCGCGTATGATTTCTTTTTTAGTTTTCCTTAAGTAGGGTAGGTAGAGGGGCCGGCCAGGTTTTCCAGAATTTCAGCATGCTGGCCGCCCAAACAAAAATAAACCACACCTAAAAGAAAGAAAGAAAACAGACAAGCCAAGGGAGGGATGGGAGGACGGCCGCCAGCGCCACCACACAGCAACACAAAACAAAACAAAATGGATCTTAAGGAGAGGGGTGTGATGCGCTAGCCGTCGCCCACCCTTGGGCGTCCGCCTCTTCCTATCTCTCTTCGCAGTCTCTCGCCGATTCTCGCTGTGCAACCTTCGTTCCCTCGCGGTCGTCCTACTCTCTTCGTTCTCTCTCTTGTTTGTCGCTTCTTCCTCTGTCGCGTCGCTCTCCTCTGCCTCGTTCTGCGACGCCGCCGCCGCCTGCCGATCCCTTGCTTGCTCTCGCTTCTTCTCTCGCCTTTCGTCGCAGCTCTGCCCTCCTCGCGGCATATTTTGGCCCCTCGAGTTTAATCGAAAGAAAAGGCAAGAAAAGAAAACATGCATGCGCAGAAATTCTCTTTGCGAGCCGACGACCTTGCTGCTGTTCTACCTTGCTCGCGTCTGTGTGTATGTGCCGGCGCGTTCCCGCCGAGCCCGCCCTCCGCATCGTCGTCTCCACCTGGAACGTCGCTCAGACCGCTCCTCCGGCGGAGGGCCTCGGCGAGTGGCTCGGCGCGGGCGCGGGCGCAGACATCCACGCCGTGGCGCTGCAGGAGGTGGTCGAGCTCGACTCGGCGCTCTCGTACTGCCGATGCTGCGCGGGAGGCGGGCTGAGCCGGCAGGCCGCCGCGTGGGAGGCGGCCGTCAGCGCCGAGCTCGGCTCGCTCGAGCGGGTCGCCAGCCTGCAGCTGGTCGGGATGGTGCTGCTTGTGTACGTCTCTCCGTCCCTCGCGCCGCACGTGGCGGTGGAGGCGCAGCTGGCGGGGACGGGGCCGCTGCGCTTTGGCAACAAGGGCGCGGTGGCGGCGACCCTCCTCTTCAAGGGCTCGAGCCTCACTTTCCTCTGCTGCCACCTCGCCGCCGGGAAGAAGGGGCCGCACCGGAGGAACGCAGAGTTCCACGAAGTGATGCGGCGGCTGCGGCTGGGCGTGCTCGACCAGCGGCGGGAGGGCGGCGCGATCAGCACCGACCCCGCCCTGTCTGGCCGCCAGCTCCTCGTCTGGTGCGGCGACCTCAACTATCGCCTCTCGCTGCCAAACGAGGAGGCGCAGCCTGCGACGCACGCGCACAGCCTCCCGCCTCCCGCCTCCCGCCCGCCTCCCGCCCGCCTCCCAGTCTACCCTCGCACGCGCACGCCTCCCTGCGCCCTCCCACACGCCTCCCAGCCCCCTCCCAGCCTCCCAGCCCCCTCCCAGCCAGTGGAGCGACTCACCGAGCTGGCATGCCTCGTGCCAGGCCCGATCCCTCGCCGCCGCCGGCCGCCACGCAGAGATGCTGCAGGCGACACTTCCTGGACACTTCCTAGACACTTCCTAGGCACGCAGAGATGCTGCAGGCGACACTTCCTGGACACTTCCTAGACACTTCCTAGACACGCAGAGATGCTGCAGGCGAGCTGCTCTCCGCCAGCCCGGCGGCGAGGTGTGGCGGAGGCTTGCGTGAACTCCTCTCCACTCGCTGCTTCAGGCGGACGAGCTGCTCGCCTCCCGCGAGGGTGCGCACGCCTTCGAAGGCTTCGCCGAGGCTTCGATCCACTTCGCGCCGACGTACAAGTTCGACCGCGGCACAGACACTCTCGACTCGTCCAAGAAGCGGCGCGCGCAGCTGGCGAGGTGCGGCCCGTGGAGGGGAGGTGTGCTCACTCCGTTTCCGCGAGCA